GGTCTCTGATAGGAGTCCAAGATGGTGGATCTGCACTGCGTTAGCTGGTAGGGGACCTCTGCATGAATCTCTCCTCGCTCTCCGTTCTCTGTCAGTTTTCTTACTCCATTTGGTGCTTGGCTGAGTTCTTTATCTCTTCATTTGATGTTTTAGGGTTTCAGGATTGTTGTATTCTCTGTTCAGCTTAATTTTTTGGATCTTTGCTGTGGAGGGACGGCATGGTCCTTCTGCCTAGAGCGCCATTTTGCCGGAACTCCTCTAAAATGAAATTCTTGACAATTTCAAATGGATTGGTGTCCCCCCAAAATATGCTGTAAATCCTAACCCCTATAACTATGGATGTAATTCCACTTGGGAATAGGGTTTTCTTTGTTATGTTAATGAGGCTATATCAGTGTAGTGTGTGTCTTAAACTCATCACTTTTGACATATAACAGGAGTAGGTTAGGTATAGAAGTAAGCAAGCACAAACAAGGGAAACGTAGACGCCACGTGGAGATCTCCAAGGAAGGCAGAGAAGAAAGTTACAGAACCTGAGATAAGGATTTTCCCCCAGAGCAAAGAGCCTTCTCCTAGAGATGGTGCCCTGAATTTGGACTTCTAGCTTCCTCAGCAGTGAGAAAATAAATTTCTGTTTGTTAAAGCCACCCACTTGTGGTATTTCTGTTACAGCAGCAATAAGAAACTAAGACAACACTGTTCTGCCGACTATTACCATATATCAGTTTTGCCTGCTCTTGAACTTCATGTAAATGGAGTCATCCAGCAGGTGCTCTTTTGTGGCTGGCTTCTTTGGCTCAACGTTATGTCTGGGAGACTCATCCAAGTTTTTGCATGTATGGATTATTTTTTATTGCCGTGTAGTATTCTAGTGTATGAATATAACACAATTTATTCATTCTACTGTCTCTGGACATTTATATTGTTTCCAGATTTGGGCTACTATGGATAAGACTGATATATTACTGCTACAGTAGTCTTTTTTGGACTAAAGCATCAATTTCTCTTGGGTGTATACTCAGAAGTGCAAATGTGAGGTCACAGAGTAGATGCATGTTTAACTTTAAAAAAAACTGCTGGTTTCCCACAGGGGTCGTACACTCTACACTGTCACCAGCAGCACGGGAGAGTTCCAGTTCTCCATATCCTCACCAACACTTGGTATTATCAGGCCTTTTAATTTGAGCTATTCTGGTGGAGGTGGGAGCTGATAGCCTATTGTTTATAATCTGCACGACCTAATGACTCACAGTGTTGCGCACATTTTCATATGTTGGCCTGGTTTTTGGCTTATCCAGGCAACCCTGAAGGGGTGTTGGCAGGAGGAGGCATGGAAGAGGGAGGCCAGTGAGGCGGATGTCACCACAGGCCAGGTGAGAGACAGGGAGACCAAGAGGGGGGCAGAGGCAGTAACGGAGTCAGATGGACTGACAGGAGGCAACCAGTGGGGCATGGTGGACTCTGGGCTCACGCTGCCCGGGTGTTGTGGCTGCTGGTCACACACATCCCAACTCCCAGTGGCTTAAGGATGCTCCTTATGTCGTAAGAGGCAGCGCAGCACCATGGTTTGGTAATTTGATGGCTCAAAGGTCTGGGTTCTTTCTTCTTTCTACCATTTTCAGCACACTGGCAACAACTTCCCTCAGGGTTGCAAGATGGTGGCAGCATGGAAACTTCATCCACTGTCCAAAAGCCGGGAGAGACAAGCCTCCCTTCCTTGTGCTCCTTCTGAAGAGCAAGGAAGACCTTCCCAAATAACCCTACCCCACCCAAGGCTTCCCTTTGCATCTTACCAGCTGGAATTGCATTTCATGACCATTCCTAAACCAATCACTGGCAAGGGGGTGGGAGACACACACACACACACACACACACACAGTCACTTCCCTGCTGTTCCATTTCCTGAATCCACCAGGGATATTCACAGGGCATATGCTCCTGCTGTTCCCTCTGCTTGGGATGCCCATGACAGCCCACGTTGCTGGTGTCATATGCCCTTTCTGGCTTTTCCATCTGGAAAAGGCATATTTCAAAGGTGCCTCCAAAAGCCCTCTCTGACCTGCGGGCTGGGTGGGGGTTTCCTCTAGGCTCCCACGGCCTCCTGGGACCCATCCCCAATGTGGATGTGGCCTGTTTGCATGGCCTTGGTGGGAGCAGGGCTAGTTCTTGTTCAATCTCTGCACACCAGTACCCTGTCCAGAAGAGGCATGCAAGGGTTGTTAAGGGTTGACAGATAGCCTGGCCCAAGAACGAGACCTCTTCCCAGCCCCACACATGACCATTGTCAGCACAGCTAGCCGTGACCAGGCCTCCCAACTGCGAGGTTGTCCCGATGCTGCTAACCCCACAGAACTGGATTTTGGGCTCCCCTCAGAAGCCCACATGCCACCCCTCCAGGAAGGAAAGCCACTGAAGAAGCCCCGGTCTCCATCTCCCACCCTCCAGCCATCCAGGACACCAGAGCTGTTGGAACATTTTATTAAGTTAAGAAGGTTTGGGGAGGAGAGAAACACCTTCATGGGGTGGCTCCAGTGGCTGAACGCCCAGCACCCCTTCAGAGAAGGAGGCCATGGGACAGCTGCCGGCTCCCTCTGTCCACCTGTCCCTCCATTCAGAGCCCCAGGGTATGGGTCCACCCAGGCCAGGAAGTAGTTAGTAGGAGGTGGGGTAGGGAAAGAGGGTAGCTGGCTCCCTGACTCTCCCCGTGAAGTCCACCGCCATGGTCGCTGCCTGGGGCTCTGCTAGACCATTGGCGCATGGCCATGGGCCAAGAAACCCAAGCAGGGGATGTTTGGAGACAGAGGGGGAGCCAGTGTTGGAGGTACAGATACCAGGAATTGCTTTTTTAAAAAGTATAAAGTGTTTTGAAAAAAAAAGGAACAAAATCTATATAAAAATCTCTTCACATATAAAATCCTGAAGAAGGTGCAAGGTAAGACCCAGGGCGAGGAGGCGCTCAGATACGCAGTGTATGTGCGCACATGTATGTGTTCATGCATGCTTGCATGCACGTGTATGTTTGCGCACACATGCGTGCGCGCGTGTTTATGTGTGTAGTGGGTGTGAGTGCATGCCCACAGAAGGTGGGAGAAAGCTTGGCTTCTGGCTTCCATCCAGCAGGGAAGAAGGGAGACTGATCCCTTGGGCTGCAGGGTCTCCAGCTGGCCTGGCCCAAGAGGACCTGGAAGACAAGGGGGTGGAGGTAAGGGCCAGAGAAGCCTCCCAGACTTGGCCCTAGGCCCCTAGACTTGCTAAGGTCAGGCAAGGGCAGTAGGTAGGTCCTTCCACCACCTCCTGGGCCCTCTGGACCTCTCCCTAAACAGCCGGGCCCCCATGCTGGCCTCTCCCTTGTGTCTCAGGAAGCCCACAAGGACTGTCAGAAGGATGAAGCTCCAGGTAGACATGGCGTTAGGACGGACACAGTAAGAACATTTGAAACCACGCTGAATCAAGAATGACTGTTGAGACTAAATGTGACAGAGTACGTGGGCATCGATTCATTATGTCTGCTGCACGAGGCTGGGTGGAGGAATGCTGGGATTAATTAGTGATGTGTGCCATGCTGCCGGGTCTGAAAATGGGAGCATGCACGCAGGATCTGTGGGCCACCCCAGGCTTAGGCAGATCAAGCTGCGTGTGTGTGGCGCTCTAATGAGAAGTGCTGCTGTCACAGGAGGAGGAAGTGACAATAATCAGATCCTCTACTGCACTTCCTGAAATGTGGTATGTTTACAAAGTGCCCTCTGGCCGAATCTGACTGGATCCCCATGACAATCCCACACTGCTGGTGTCATTGTCTCGTTGTTCCCATTTTACAGATGGGGAAATGGAGGCCAGAAGAAGGGAAGTGCCCTGGCCAAGGTGACACGGCCAGTCAGGGGCGTGGGTGAGCCTCCAGGCCTGGTGGCCCACCCGGCCTCAGCCCACCCCCCCACCTCTACTCGGCCAGGCTGTTGCGCATGGACTCCTTCTCCTGCAGGGCAGCCATGGCGAGGCGGAGGTGCTCCTTCAGCTGCTCGATCTCACGCTCTGACCGCGTCTTGATGTGGTTCAACTCCACATACACGTCCTGGTACTTCCCCGAGGTGAAGCGCTTATCCTGGGGGCCAGGGAGGGGCTGTTAGGCGCGAAGCCCTCCCTCCTGGCACATGCCCGGTCGGCTCCCTGCCGGCCAGCACGAGCAGCCAGGCCCTCCACACCCCCCATGGCTTCGTCCCTCCAGGTGGCCCCCCCGCCCTGGGCACCCCTCCCAGCACCACTTGTTTGAGAGAGGAGAGCTGAGGTTTAGAGAGGTGAAGAAGCTCCTGCCCAAGACCACATGGCAGTGAATAACAGGGCTGGGATAACAACCAGGTCACTGGGCCCAGTGCCAGGCCCTTCCATGAATTCACACTGCCTATTCTTAAAGTGTAGTAAACACAACTCCGGCTCACACACACTCAGAGTCACCAACATGTCCACCTCTGACCCTAAACTGACAGAGGACGTCAGAGACACAGGGACACAGCAGCAAATGCCTGGCTCACAGGCCTGGACCCCAGTCCTGGCCCTCCTAACTCCTAGCAATGCGGCTTATTCCTCAATGGAGTATATGCGCCACAAGGCCAGGGGTTCGGGCCTATTTTGTTCACAGCTGTATCCCAGCTCCTAGCACAGCGCCTGGCACATAGTAGGTGCTGAGTAAATATGTGCTGAATAAATTAGAGCAAGTGTGGACTTGGGCAAGCCACTTACCTTCTCTGAACCTCAGTTTCTTCATCTGCACATGGGGATAATGACACCCACTTGGGAGAAGCCCCACGGGAGCTTGAGAAAACGAGGCAAGGAGAAGGCCTGGCACAGAACATGCTCACATGTGGATGGAGCATCCAGGTGGATCCAGAGTCCTCCTACCCCAATGACCCTGCCCTGGCCAGCTGAGACCTACCTTCTGCATCATCTGGAGCTCATCCCGGAGGCACTGCACCTCCTTCTTTAGGTACTGAAGTTCGTTCTCCTTCACCCGCAGCAGCACCTGGAGTCATGGGCACCAGGCTGACCCAGGGCCAGAGGCCAGAGTTCCTCTGCCACACAGTTCCCTGCTGCCCAGCTTCTCCCTGCTCGAGCCTCCCCATGCCTACACCAAGACCCACCACAGGGGCAGGCTAGGGGCAGGTTCCTCCAGGAAGTCCTCTCTGATTTCTCCTGCTTTCCTTCACCTTGCTCTATCCCCCCTGCCCATACCATGCGAGTGGGTGGAGGCTCCTTCAGGAAGCCCTCTCTGATTTCTCCTGCTTTCCCTCACCTTGCTGGCTCTCACCTTGCCCATACCACGTGAGTGGCTATCCCACGGTCACCTCTGCTAGTCTGAACTGGACGGGGAAGAGTGCAAGCGGAATCCATACTGTGGTCCTACTGTAAACCACAGTGGGCTGGGCCTCCCGACATGCCATCTCACTGATCCCTCCCCAAACCTGAGGAGCAGGTGTTGCTGTCCTGACTTGACCTGACATGTAGCCAGGAGCGGGGGAAGGGGGCTTAAAAGCATAGACACTGGAGCCAGACGGCCTGGTTCAAACCCCAGCCCTGGCACTGACTAGCCAAGGTACTTGACCTCCCCATGTCTCAGTTTCCTCATCTGTAAAATGGGGACAGTAACTGTGTCTATCAGAGCACTGCATGGGGGTTAGATGAATGAACAGATAATAAAGGGCTTAGAGAAGCTCCAGACACAGTAAAGCCTTATGTAAGTATCTGTTAAATAAACAAAAACATAGTATTAGGGTGATCCCAAGATCACACACATTTTTCACCACAACTTCTCCCAGTAAAGGAGCCTGGGTGGTTTGAACCCACCCAGCAGTGCTGTGGAAGAAAGACCTGACAATCTGCTTCTGTAAAGATTCGGCTAAGAAAACCCTATGGAGCTGTTCTACTCTGTCACACATGGGGTTGCCATGAGTCAGAATGGACACGATGGCACAGGTTTTGTTTTTTGCTTTTTTTCCCAGTAAGGGAGGTGCTAGCCCCATTTTACAGAAGAGCTACTAGGGCTCAGAGAGGGGAGGTGACTCGCCACGGTCACACAGCTGGTAGGTGGCTTTCACCCCAGCTCAGCAGGGCTGGGTGCACAGGAGGTGGTCTGTCTTAGCTGGCCTCTCCTGGCTGGGGCCCAGCTGCTCTAGAGCATGGTGCTCTGGCTGCAGGGAGCTCTCCCCACACGCCCCAGCCCCGAGAACTGGCTGGGTGCCTGGCACAGGGGTGGGTGCTCACCTCCAGCTCGCAGGAGCTCCGCTCATTGCTGCGCCCACAGCCATTGCCCGTGCCCTGCGAGGCGATAAAGCTGCGCAGCCGGTCAATCTCCTCTGACAGGTGGGCATGCAACTCCTGGGGGGAAGGACGGTCAGTACAGAGATGCCGGGGACCACTCACCCCCACCCCTACCCGAGGCCCACCTGGTTGTGGCGCAGCAGCTCCTGGCCCTCCTGTTGGCAGCGCCGCAGCGTGTGTTCGCGCTCCTCGGCCTGCCGCGTCAGGGCCCCAATCTCCAGGCACTTCTGAGAGTACTGCTCTGACAGCACCTGCAGCTCCCGCTTCAGCGCCTCCACGTCTGACCTGCCCGGGACAAAGGGGCAGAGAGATGGTATGGGCTCAGCTCTCCTGTACTCTGCCAAACCTGGAGTCAGGTCATGGCAGACTCAATGCGACACAGACTTCTGGGTTCCCTCCTTAGTTCTGCCTTCAGTTCACTGTGGGGCTGTGAACAGGTAACTTGGCCTCTCGGGGCTGCAGGTGCCTCCTTTATGAGAGGGTGAGTCAGAGGAGCCCAGCTCTAAAGGCCCTACAGCCCCAACATTCCAGAACTGTGCTCTATGGCAGGGAGGGACACCTACTGGCCGTGGGCAATACTGCAGCCCAGCTCTAGAGGACACTAAAGAGGGGAAGAGAAGGCTGGAGGCTGAGACTGGCCAAGACAGGAAGGGGCCTGGAGAATTATCTATGAAACTGGTGTGGAGGTCTGCCTGAGGCCCCACTGCTTCTGTTCCCTGTGTCCATGTGACTGGCATGGAAATCTCACCTAGGGGCAAACTGATGTGCCCTCTGCCAAGGGGCCTCAGTAAAGTTCCCCAACTCATAACCACCAGAGTGGGCATGTGGAACCCTGGCTCAGAAGGGACGCCCAGCCTACAGAGCACGGAGCCTAGACGCCATCTTACTCGTGCTGCTTCCGGAGGCCATCTGGGCCTTGCTGGAGACTCCGTGTCTTATTCAGCTCCCGGCTCAGCTCCTCCTGGTAGGCTTTCTTCATGGCTTCGATGGCTGGGAAGCAGGGCAGAGAGGTGGAGGAAAGATTGGAGAGGGGCCAACATTACGAAGCTCCACCCACTCTGGGGCTCCACATGTGCCCCTGGAGACAGAAGCAAGGAGTGGTGTGCAAAGAGCCCTGGACCAGGAGTCCAGAGCAATGCAGGCTATGTCATGAACTGGGTGGTCTTGGGCAAACTGTTCAGCATCTCTGTGTGTCAAGGAAGGATAATAATCCCTTCTGACAGACTCAGCTGGGGAGACGCCTCAGTGTCTGACCACTGGTACCTCTTATTGTTAGTGATTGCTGGGTAAGACCCCACACAGTCTGCTATTTCTGCAGAGCCTAGAAGGTTCTTAAAAAGGCCTGCCCATCTTGCCTAGACTAGTGGTCAAAAGCTGAGGCTGTGCGGTCAACATGAGTCGAAGTTCTTCCACTCACAGTGTCTGATTTTGGGCAGGTGACTTAACCCCTCTGTGCCCCAGGTTTCTTATCTGTAAAAGGAGGATAACAAACGCAGTTTCTCTTCATGGGTTATTGGAAGCTGTGTGTGAGGCATTTAGAACAGTGCATGGCAGACTAAGTGCCCAAACACTCGCTCCCACTGCTTTTGTTTTTCAGACTAGAAGCTCCCAAGGACCGTGGCTTTTTCACCTCCACGCAGGGTTGTGGTGAGGATTAAACAAGATCTCAATCTCTTATCTATAATTCCAAATCCAAAAAACTCTGAACACAGAAAGTTGTTCATAACTCTCTTGGTGGCTATTATGGTCTTTATTATCTTACACGTGACTCTCATAGACTTCACTGCAGAAACAGGAGAATGCTGGATTAGAGGGTGAAGCCCAGGCCCTGCTCGTGGGGAGGTTCCTAATATACAGGACACACACTGGGTTCTCTCTCCAAAATGCAGAGCACCCCTGGCCTCAGGGCTTGGGATGAGGGACTGGGGACTGGTATGAGCGAAGCACTTGGCCTAGCTCCAGCAGGTGTGCAGTAGGCAGAGGGAGGAGAGGGAGTTGTCCAATGTCTCCGGCATTTGCTGTTTCTGGCCTGAGACTGTTTATCTCCCTAGGGCGAGCAGAGTGTGGGGTTCAGAGTGCTCTAGAGTTCCAACCCCTGTGCTATCTGAGCCCCAGTTTCCTCATCTGTGGAATGGGGTCAATCCCTCCAGCACTGAGAGGACTAAGGGTGCTTATGCAGGTTACACGGGAGGCACAGAGCGCCCCCCTGTATGCCCAGTGAGATGGCACTCCTATGAGAACAGGGTCTGAGGCTGGCCAGTCTCTCTCCCCTTGGCACGTGGCCTGAGCATGGAGCTGGAGCTCAGAAGGTGTCTTGAGGATGGACCTATCGGTGGTTGCAGGCCCCAAGGCAGAGAAGTCATAACCCATGAAGGAGGGAGGGGGGGTCTTTTACTGGCTCAGTTTCCCCCTTTCCAAGTAGGGTCAGAGGCCAGTTCTGGCAGCTTCAATCCCTCCAGATTCCCTGCCAAGTCTGGGTACCTAGGCCCCAACCTCTTGTTTACAACCACTGCCATTGAGTCAATTCTGACTCAAAGCAACCCTATAGGGTGGAGTAAAACTGTCCCATAGGGTTTCTAAGGCTCTAATCTTTACAAAAGCAGACTGCCACATCTTTCTCGCACAGAGTGGCCGGTGGGTTTGAACCGCTGACCTTTACGTCAGCAAGCGAGCACTTAACCACTGCGCCACCAGGGCTCCCTCCTCTTCTTTAAAAACCAAAAAAACCAAACCCGTACCATAGAGTCGATTCTGACCCACAGCGACCCTAGAGGACAGAGCAGAACTGCCCCATAGGGTTTCCAATGAGCGGCTGGTGGATTTGAACTGCCGATCTTTCAGTAAGCAGCCATGTCACTTAACCACTGTGCCACCAGGGCTCCCTCCTCTTGTTTAAAGGCCTCCCTAATTCGGTCAGGGGGAGCCACAGCCTGGAGCTCACGGGGCCCAGATCACGGTGCTGCCCTGCCCAGGGTCCTGACCTGAAGCAGTGGCCGCTGTCTCCTCAGCCAGAAGCCACTCCTTCTCCTGCTGCAGCCGTTGCAGCTCCCGCTCATGGTGCCGCTGCAGCTCCTCCATCACCTGCTGGTGCGAGGACTCCATCTCGGCCAGGCTGCGCTCGCACGCCTCCTGCGGGTGGGGACCAGAGCGGTGGGCTCAGGACGTCATGGGGCCACCTTCCTTCCCCAGCCTCCAAGTGAGAAGCTTCAGGGGCAGGCCTGCCCTGGGCCAGACTTCCCCACCTCTCGCTGGACCCTGGCACCACCAGCCTGGCACCTGCCATCACTCCCACCCCCTCCACCCCACCCATCCTCTGCAAACCTCACCCTGTCACTCCCCTGCTTCAAACCTGTCCATGGCTCCCCATCCTGCAGGAACAAGTCCTGCTTCTGCCGGGCCCTTGTGGCCGCATCCCCTGCCAAGCAACCTCATGGTCATAAAAAACGATTCACGGCACATTCACACCTCTGCGCTTTAAAAAAAAACAAAAACAGTTGCCATCGAGTCGATTACGACTCATGGTGACCCCGTGTGTTTCAGAGTAGAACTGTGCTCCAGAGGGTTTGCAATGGCTGTGATCTTTTGGAAGTAGACTGACAGGGCTTTCTTCCAAGGTGCCTCTGGGTGGATCTGAACCGTCGACCTTTCTGTAGTAGCCAAGCGCTTAACTGTTTGCACCACCCAGCTTTAGTTCATGCTATTCCCACTGCCTGGAAAGTTCTTTCACAACTTTCTCCTGGGTAACCAACTCGCTCTGCTCTGTCTCAATTCTGTCTCTGGGCAGCCTCTTCCCTGCCTCCAGAGCCCCGCCTCTGCCAAGCAATATGCTCCCTGGACCGGAAATGACTGGTCCATCTCGGAGTTCCTGAGACCAGACCAGGCCTGACAGGTGGCAGGTGCTCAGTAAATGGGCTGACACTGATGACTTAACACAAAATGGGGCTTTTAGACAAGCTTGGCAAACATCTAGAAGACATAATATCCACTGCTGGCAAGGATATGGCGAAGCCAGTGCTGCAGGTGGGGGTGCCAACTATGGCAGGGTCGTACTTGACCCAGCAGGTCTACTTCTAGGAATGAACCCACAGAAAGACACATGTGTACAAAGACTCTTGGACAAGGGTACTAGCACAGACAAACTGGAAACAATCTAAATGTCTAGCAGGAACCATTAAATAAATTATGGAATCGAGCCATACAAAGGACCCTGGGCAGCTGTTAAAAGACAGAGCTGCCTGTGGGCTGCTGTGGAAGTGTCACTAAAGTTAGGTGATGAAAGCAGGTTTCTGACAAGACATATGGTGTGGCCCCTTCACAGAAACAAAACACATAGATTTATACGTCGGGTACACACATGTAAAAACACAGATAAAGGTATGGAAGGATAGTGTGGTAGGCAGAATAATGCCCCCCGCCCCATCAAATGTCCACATACTAATCCCCGGGATCTGCAAATATGTTACATTATATGGCAAAAGAGAATTAAGGTTGCTAATCAGCTGACCTTAAGAGAGGGAGATTATCCTGGATTATCCGATGGGTGCAATGTAATCACAAGAATCCTTAAATGTGGAAGAGGGAAGCAGAAAAGTAAGTCAGAGGATATGTGACTATGGAAGAGAAAGGTCAGAGTGAAGTGACAAGGACTCGACTCTCCTCTGTGAGTTCTCAGGATAGAGGAAGGGGGCTGTGAAGCAAGGAATGCGGGTGGCCTCTAGAAGTCAAAAAAAGCAAGGAAGCGGCTCCTATCCAGAGCCTACAGAAGGAATAGCAGTCCTGCCAATGCCTTGATTTAGCCCGGCAAGACCCATGTTAGACTTCTACCCAACTGGAAGCCTGCATTTCAGACACACGTCTGCCTCCAGCCCCCTCTCTGGGCCTCAGTTTCCCCATGTGTAAGCTGAGAAGCAGAGCAGGGCTTTGCAAACTTCATTTCAGTGGCAGAAATCTTTTACCAAATGAAATCTAACGCAGTTTCTAACAGTAAAATGGTCAAAGATGGAGCTGCTCAGATTACAGTTCAGTAGGGTAGATTTGCGTTAGTTAAGCCATTCTGTTTGTGGTGGTTTGTTACAGCAGCAAGAGGAAACTAATACAGATATGCTCTAATGGTAACCCAGGTGACTTCTGGGGTGGGAAAGTTATCTGGGTTAACTTCTAACCCTTTGATTTGTTTGAATTATTTTTGGAAAAGTAAACACGTTTCTTACATAATAAAAAACTACTTAAGACCATTAAACAGGGAGAGGGGAGAGCCAGGGAAGAAACTGAGGCACAGTGGCTCCTAATAAAATGGTATTCTCCCCCGATGCACATGCCTAGCCCGGGTACCTCACTGGGGTGGAGCTGAATCACATCCCTCCACCTCTCCAGCAGCCACACCTTCTAGAAGAGACACCTCTGTGGGCTGCAGCAGGCCAGTTTGGGAGAGGGGGAAGGGCCAGGCCCCCTGGGTCCAGGGTTCCAGTAGGGGGTTGGGGAGGTCTGCCCTGGGCCCCTGCACCTGCCCTGTGCCTATCCCCCAGTTAGGACAACAGAACGTAGCTCTGGAATCCCAGACTGGGTCCTAATCCTGGCTCCACCACCAAGGGAACCTGAACAAGCCCCCCCCCCCTTGAGCCTCAGTCTCAGGTCCCACGAGGGACTGAGGGGTCCCGATGAGTGTGGAAAGGTAAGGAAAGTCAGCATCCACCTGTGGAGATCACCTGCCCAAGGTGCCACCATCCCTGACACTGTCTCAGAGTGGTGCAAGGGTGGAAAGTGTTCCTAGAGGGCCAGCCAGGCAGACAGACACTGCAGCTAACAGGGGTTTGGAGGCTGAGGTCAGGAGTGTGAAGGGCCCATGAGGAGGGGCTACTAGAAGGCTGGGTGCTGCTCTCTCGCCTACTTTCGTAAGTGGCACAAGGTGTCCCGACACTGGCTGAGCACCAAGGTAGATACAGAAGTGCCTGTGCCCCCCAGTAGGGTAGGGGTTCCCCTTCATCAGAGAAGGCACTGAAGCCCCAGCAGGTGAAGTACCAGACCTCCCAACTGCTGCCCTGTGATGTCAAGTCCCCGGCCCTGTTAGAGGGGCACCCACCCCGCCCAGATGCCAGGCTTGGGGCTCCCTCCCTGCTGTCACCTCTGAATTTCCAGCCTGCTGAACTTCCAGCCACCTCCTCCTGGGCCTGAGGGAGCCACAGATGACTCAGCTCCTCTTCTCTGGAAGCTTCTGCATTTGGGGCCACTCCTTCACCCATCTTCTGCTCTCTGCTTTCAAACTGACCTTCTCACCTCCCACCCTCCAATTCCACCAGCTCCCCCTGCCCACCCCAACCTAACAGGATGAAATGCCGGCAGCCCTTGATGCATCCCATAGGTGCTTCGGGACCAGGAAGCCTGCATTTCAGACACACGTCTGCCTCCAGCCCCCTCTCTGGGCCTCAGTTTCCCCATGTGTAAGCTGAGAAGCAGAGCAGGGCTTTGCAAACTTCATTTCAGTGGCAGAAATCTTTTACCAAATGAAATCTAACGCAGTTTCTAACAGTAAAATGGTCAAAGACGGAGCTGCTCAGATTACAGCTGGGTGGAAGGGACACCCCCCACCCCAGCCCCACACACCCAGAAAGACAGTCCTCTTGGAGTTTCCAGGAACTCCACTGTGCATAGTCTGAAGTCCCTGCTCACCTGGAGATGCCCCATCGAACCCCTTCCCCGCCTCAGGGGAGCCCTTGATAACCCAGGCCCCTTCCCTTCCCTCCCCAGTGTCCAGGTGACCCTTAGGCCAGCCCTCCACCTCCACGTCAGCCACCCAACTCCCCCTGCCCTCCCTCAGCCGAACGACCCACCAACCACTCAGCCCCCAGATGGCCCCCTGCCCCAGACCAGCAGCTCCAGCCTCAGGGTCTTTGTGGGCTCCCCTCTGCCTTCCCGTGGGCCCAGTCACCAAGCCCTACACCCTCCTCCCTCCACACACCCTCCCACATCCCTCCCTCCATCAGCCATTGTACTAGCTCCTCCCCACTGGGCCTTGTCCCCTAGCCCTCCTTCCAAGCCCCCGTCTTCTCCAACACCACTTTCCAAGGTCACTGCGAGACCTCAAACCTCCTAAGGTCTGTGAATGAGATTCTAACTCCTTAGCTTGGCACTGGAGGCCTCCACAGTGGGCACCACTGGCTGTCTACCTCATGCCACACCCAATATCCTCCACCCATACACCAGTGCCATCACAGCACCCACCCCTCAGGAAGCCTTCCTGAACACCCCTCACAGTCACCGCCCCCCTCAGAGTCTCTGAGAGGCTCCTGCCGAGGGTCTGGGGTCCCAGCATGCTTTTCTTCTTCAGGCTATACTGTACTGACTGGAGACGGCTGACAGTCAAATCTTTTAGGAATTTTGCATGCCAGTTGTTAAGCACAGCCATTATTAAAAATTAAATCATATAAACTTACAAGTAATTATCTTACAAACAAAGGTAACAGATACTCAAAACTCATCACTTCCTAATTATTTTACTACACTTTATTATTATCTTGCCCTTGAGGTCATTTACATCTATTGTACGTATGGCAGAAATACTATATTACTGTGTGTAGGTCTCTTCCCAACTCCATGTTCAGGGACTTCACATTGGTAGCTTGACATCAGCCATAATGGGAGTATTTACACCATGGAAACTGGTAAATGTTACAATTCAGGATGTGATTTATTGTTTATTTTTTAGACTTAAATAAGAGATGAGAAAAATGCTAATAATGCAGATTAAACTCAAAAGTATGTCATGTCTATAGCAGTTACATTGTAAATAGGACAAAAAATTGAGGAACAGTCTCAAACATCTCAATAGAAAACTATTGTCCAATTCAGCAAAGAAGTCACTTGTGACACTAAGTAAAGTTTCGACTTAGGTCTTCTCGTCTTACTCATAATAGAAGTAAAAATGTCAACCAACATTCATGTTAGAACTATACTCACTTATCAGTTACTTACAGATGTAAGAGTTCAGATACAAGAGTTCAGTAAAAATCAATGAAAGCATTCTGCAAAAAATCAATGTGCTATGTGGAATTTGCAATAAGTATTATATATTTTTTATTTGTAAATTGTGTACTGAACATCCCAGATAAAGAAAAATTTATAAAACACTTATATATCTAAGTGTGCATGTACACATGCGTGCATGCACACACACACACACACACACACACTTTCTGGAGAGCCAGGTGTTAAACGTTTGCCCACGCACCACTGTCTTCAGGTCTAACTCCTAGGCCAGGGTTTCTCAGCCTTGGCACTGCTGACATTTGGGTCAGATAACTCTTTGCTGAGGAGAGCTCATCTGTGCATTGTAGGCTGCTCACCTGTGCATTACTGGGCTCTATCTACTAGATGCCAATAGCACTCCATTACCCCCATCATGACAACCAAAGATATCTCCAGACATGGCCAAATGTGCCCTGGGTGACAAAACTGCTCCGGTTGAGAACCACTGTCCTAAGCAGACTGCATGCTACCCAAGGGCCACTGGAGGCTCCTATGTCCCCTAGACCACACTGTACAGGGCCTTCCGTCCTCTGCCGGACCCCCACCTCCCCAGGATGGTACTGGGGAAGGGGAGGAATTCACCAAGCGCAGAGTGTCACGCAGGAGCTCACACACGGCCTCTGCAGTCAGCCGGACCCAAGCTCAAATCCCACCTCTGACACCTGCAGGCTGGTGACCTCGGGCAAGTCAGGTAACCTCTCAGAGCTCAGTGGCCTGGTCTGTAAAACGGGCATGGTCATCATGCCCATTGAGACTGATTTTTACCGCTGTGGGGAAATTAAACGAGATGATGCATGTCAAATGCCTCACACGGGTCCCAGTACACAGGAAGTGCTCCAAAAACATTAGCTGTTTTTTGATAACATGGCAACCAGGAGGCTGCCCCCTCCCCCCAAAACAGCTCCTCAGCCTCACCTGTGAGATGTAGCCCGTGGGGATGTGGCCATCCTCCTGGAACCTGGGTGCATCCTGAGGTGCCTCCCCTCGGAGACGCCATGCCTCCAGCTGGGCACGAAGACACTGGACCTGCCGGGGGAGGAGGCAAGGTCAGTGGGGCTTGAGAAGAGGAAGCGGCCCTGGTGTGGAGACGCAGGCAAAGGGGATATCCCAGCTGTTTCCTGGATGGCCAGATCAACGACCCGGAAGAGCTTTGGCCCAGAGAAGGCCAGACAGGGCTGGGAGCAGGACGCAGTGCTCACACATATTTACCACATGATAGAGGTGGCAGGGGCAACATCTTTGAGCCTTAGTTTCCCCGTCGGTAAAACTGCGATAAGCCCTAGCCTATGGGATCATAAGACTGCTGAGGATTATGAGTTAACATAGGTAAAGAGAGCCTGGGACAAGGTGGGGTGCATAGAATAAATGGTCTCTCCCCTCCCTTCCCTCTTCCCTTCTCTGCAGTTGCTGAGGGCAGAAACAGGATACAAAAATCCAAGGTTCATCCAGGGAAGAAGATTCCGATTCACAAGGAGTCTGAGGTGTCAGACTGGTTCAGGAGTGAGCTCCCCATCATTGCAGGTATGCAAGATAAATGCCATAGCATGAATGCAAGGATTGGAGGGAGGTTGGTGGGGTGCAGGGGCTCCCACAGAGGCCAGCCATGATGCCTATCTCCTTCTCCAGGGCCTCGTGGCTGTCGCCTGAGGGCCCCCGGCACTCGCCATAGCATGAATGCAAGGACTGGAGGCAGGCTGGTAGGGTGCAGGGGCTCCCACAGAGGCCAGCCATGATGCCTACCTCCTTCTCCAGGGCTTCGTGGCTGTCGCTGGAGGACCCCCGCTGCTCACTGCGGCTTTGGTTAAGCAGGGCGGTGAGCGGCACCCGTTTGTTCTCCCGCAGTGGCAGCTTCTCCAGCTCTTGCCACTTCTTCTCAATCTCCTCACTGAGCCGGCTCTGCTGGTCCTCAGTCAGGGGTGCGCCCAGTCCCCGGCGTGGCGCTTCGCCAGACTGCGTCTCTACGGCCCTGCTGTCTGTGGCCTCGAACCACTTGCGGCGCTCCTCGGAGCGCTGGGCCAGGTCCCGCTCCAGCTCTTCCTGCTTGGCTGGGCGGTCGGGAGCACGCACCAGGGGGCGGGCCCGTTGTGGGGAGCTCTGAGTCAGCGGTGAGAGCTCCACATAGTCCGGAGACTGCCGCTGCCCTTCCGCCTTCCGCAAGCCACCCCGGCCGATGACCTCAGAGCCTGCCCGCTGCTCTCCTGCCTTCAGCGAGCCCTTCTGGGTGCCATAGCTGTGCAGCGTGTTCTCCTTGTTGTAGTCCGAGAGCCTAGAGTGCCAGCAGAGCCACATCAGGCAGGGCCTTGCCCACTCCGGCCCACAATGAGCATATCTGGAGTGCCACCCATGTGCCAGGGGCTGGGGACAGACTCCAGTGCAGGAAGTAGCCCAACCTAGAGGTTGAGAACTTGAGTTTCGTTATTAACAGACCCTGGCAACCATCCCAGCTCTACCACTTACCAGGCTTCCTCTCTTTGCATCCCAGTTATCTCTTCTGTAACATGGGACAATGCCTCTCATCGGATGGATGTGAGGACTGGGTGAGTGAGTGCATATAAAGCAACCAGGAAGCCCTTTGCAAATGGTGATCAATGTGCTATCCTAGATTTGGAATAGGGGAAATGCTCACGGTCACTATTGATGAGGTAAAAACGGTGACCTCGGGATGCACAGAGCACAGCTGTTGGGACTTTTAACAACCATGAATATACGGTCACCCAGCAGATGACACTTCACAGCGTCTCTTGCAGCTATGTGTGGTCATGTGACTAAACTCTGCCCAATAGGATGTGAGAGGTGGTGTGCCTAATCCTGGCTGGGACTTCAGGAGAACCTGAGCCATCACCTCTGGCCCAGGGCTGGCCACAGAACTGTCCCAGCAGGCCTGGACTACACCTCTGGACTGTTCCAGAGGGAGAACTAACTATCCTGTTTAAGTCACTATGGTTTAGGGTCTCTTTGTTACAGCAGATGAGCCTATATGTGTGCTCACAGCAAACCAAAATGCTGGTAGTTTGAGTTCACTCAGAAGCACCTCAGAAGAAAGGCCTGGTGATCTACTTCCAAACAATCAGCGATTGAAAACCCCGTGGAGCACAGTTCTACTGTGACACACACGAGGTCTCCATGAGTCAGAATCGACTCAACGGCAACTTGTTTGGTTTGGTTTTGGTTTTGTTACAGCAGCTGAGCCTATATACTAAATAATATTCCAGCTGCACAGTACTTCGGAGTTTACCAAGGGCCTCCACGCACATCCTCACACAAAGCAGACACAACATCACGACAGATGAGGAATCTGAAACTCAGACAGGAAGGTCACTGGCCTGAGGCTGAACAGCAAGGGTGTGGCCCAGAAGGAGGCCTTGTGCTTAGCCCCCAGCCCCCGTCAATCCCACACTCTGTTCCCACTGCCCAGCAGACATGAGCCCCAGCCTCCCGTGGGCATCTTGGATTTGGACTGTGTGGGGGGTCTGCTACCAGGTAACTCACCCCTCCTGCCCCTCCGTCCAGGGCAGCCTCCAAGGGAGTGAGCTCCCTGACCCCTGAGAGGTGTGGACAGAAGTGAAACCTGTTCCCAATCTCTCAGGATATGGGGGATAAAAAGTGGTGGGAGCTTAAACTTCAAATCCTCAGTGTATTTCTGGATGACTACCAAGAATGCTCATCACCCTCTCCCCATTTTACTGATACAGAAACTGAGGCCCAGAAGGCACAGCCACAGGGCCCTCGGGTGGGCACCCAGATCTCCACTCAGGAACACAGGGATTAGCACCTCCCTCAAAACCCTGGTCCAGCTTGCACATACTTGGTGACATCTGGGGCTGAAGTTGGTCGCACAGTCTTCCTCAGAGCTTCAATCCAGTTCCGTCGGATGCCCGAGGTCATGGCCGACAAGGTGTAGACAGCGTCTTTGGTCTGCAAGTCCACCCCGTGAGTAGGCTGTCACGTGGCCAGCCCCATCGCTCCCTCCCTCCTTCCAGGTGGGTGTCTAGCTAAGTTCCTGAGCCTGGAGGTGAGCAGAGGGTGCTGAACCTCTCCTCCAGACCAGATGGCAGAGCTGGCCCAGGAAGAGCCCCACTGGCTGAGACCTCCCAGCATCCTAACCTCCCTGGCCAAGGATACCCAGGGTCTCCCAGATATGCCAAGTGTAGGCACCAGAGCTTCTGACTGGAGGACAGTCAGGGAATGACAGCAGCCAGTCTCTGGTGGTCAGCCATGTTCACTACCCCTCTGGGGGAATCAGTCATGCTGCCCACCACTTCCCAAGCCCCACGCCAGCCTCACGTGGATCTGGAAGCCATAGTTGCGCTGCACCGCATACTCCGTGACGTCCGTGCAGGAGCGCAGGTCGATCTCACCGTCCAGCTCATCTGCCTGGAGCAGGGAGGCCTCGATGATTCACGCCAGAGGGCTCCCGGGTGGCTCACCTGCCGACCCCACCGCAGCCCACCCCCAGCCCCTTTCAGGGGTCCATCAGCACTGGGTGAAGAGAGGGAGCCCCCCACCCTGCTGTCTCACCTCCTCAGCGGTGGAGTCCCTGTAATACTTGAGGCTCGAATCTGTCAGCACAAACCAATGCTTCTTCCACTGTGAAGAAGACGTGATGGTAAGCGAGGGGAAAGGCAGGGGGATTGGAGTATGTGTGAGTTTGCGCGTGCGTGCATGTATGTAATTCCGCAGGTGTCCTGGACTGGGCAGCTACCAGCCAACCATTCTGCTCACAGTTGGGGCCCAGCACCCTCACTGGCCCTGCTGAGGGGTGGGGTGGGGGTGCAGCTCAGAGTCAGAACACAGATTCGGAGCCTGGCCACTCTGCTTCCTAGTTGCCTGGCCTTAGGCCAAGCAAGCTACCTCTGGACAGCATCTGTGAAGTGGGTTGGCTTCCCCTTGGTAAACACCAACCTCATTCCTCCGTGGAGCCCTCATCTGATTTGCTGACACTCCCACACCCCTCCAGAGCCTTCTACCATGATTCCCAAGGCTCCTACAAGAAAACCCCCACCCCCTGGGCAGACCAAGGAGGGGTCATGACCATGTAAGGTCACTTGCCTAGCAAGTCAGGGACCAAGTGGGCCCAGAAGATTGCAAATCCTTTACATGTCCTACGGTAACCTCCACGGCCAAGGACCAAAGTGTCCCAGAGTAGAATTGGAAGGGGGCAGGGGGCAGGGGGTGGTGTCCCAGCACTGGCCATGTTCTGTTTCTTGAGCTGGGTGCTGCTGTTACATGCACACTGAGGTTGTGAGAATGCATTGAGCTGCACCTTTTTGTATCCATATTACATTCCGATAGTTCGCACATACACACACACACAGAGGAAGCCTCCAGAAGGCAATGGACTGGGGGAGAACTCCTGGGACATGGCCGTGGGACATCAGGGGAATTACACGTAAGGAGCCAGGACTATCTGGGCTGATTTCAGAGAATCCCTCACCAGTGCCTCTCTGTGCTCCAGCCTGGGTTCAGGTGGCCAGAGGATGCTTAGGAGAGGGGTTGGGGACACAGAACAACCCAACGTTAAATGCGCCAAGTTCAGCCCACCTCCAGGCCTCTGCTCACTCCACTGGAATGCCAGTCCAGATCCACCCACCGCCAGGGTCAGCACATGCCACCCAGCCTCCAGCCCTCAGGGCCTCCTGGCTCCCCCACATCACCAAGCCCTAGCCACATGGTCTGCTGTCACAAGTACTTAGCCTTCTTTCCTCAAAAAGATAAGGTTTCAAGGGTGTGCAAGGATAACACGCTCTACTTCTTTCCACGCTGCCTCCCCTGAGAACCGGGGATTTGGCATCCAAGAGACCTGGGTAACAATTCATTTGATCCTTTGCTAGCTGTGTGCCTTTGGGCAAGTGTCTTGACCACTCTGAGCCTCAGTCTTCTGAACTATAAAGTGGGGCTACCGGGATGCAGTTCTGAGGTAAGAAGTACCTAGCCCTCCCTTGCGTGTTTCTCGTGGCACAGGGTCAGGTACAAGGCTGCTGGGGCTCTTCCAAGAGGCTGGCCCTCTCAGAACCACCCTGCTGAGTGGCCTGAGTTGCTGTCGGGCCCTCAGGTGCCCCTCTGTCAAGCAGGGCAGGGATCTGTACCAAATGCTCTCTTTGGCCCTCCCCGGCCCAATCTCTGTCTGAGATAGGACTTCCAGTGGGCCTCTGGCACCCCAATCTTGAAGCCTGGGGCCAGCCCAAGGTGCTGTGAGGCCTGGAACAGATCAAAGGCCCAAGGGCCTATCTCCTGCCTGTGTACCGAGGGGCTGGGCTGGCTCAACTCCCAGGGCCCTTCCCACTAGGACATTCCAAAACCCTGTGACAGAAGATGAGTAACGGCCAGTTCTGGGTGGGGCCCGCAATCCCTCTGCCCTCCGGGGACCCTGGGTGGGGAGGCCGGGAAGGGGTCGCTGGCAGGGCACCAAGCCTTGTGTGAGGCTGGCAAGCAGCCACCGGGGCCAGGCGGGTGGGCAGGCAGTGGGTGCAGAAGGCTGTGGGCTGGAGGGAACCAAACATGTGGGCAGGAAACACAATGAGATTCTCGTTGGCGCCGTGCCCTCCCCGGCATGTGGGCTGCACACAGACCCAGAGCCCCGGCCGCATGCAGGGCAGGGCTGGGGAGCCGTCTCCCCCCAGGCCAGATGGGCAAGCCGCCAGCTCCAGCTCCCAGGCTCCAGCCTGGCAGCCAAAAGGGCAGAGCTGGTGAAACAGCCACTGTCCTTTATGGTTCTCAGGACAGACAAGTTAGAGGAAGGAAGGAGTCACTCGCTGAGTCCCTCCAAGGCATGAGGGCCCTTTACTTGCTTGTGGGACCCTCTTACCCGCCCTGGAGGGAGTCATCAATATCCTTTATGCCCATTTCACAGACGAGGGCACTGAAGCCCAGAGGGGGCTTTGGCTCCACCCATGGGGCCCAGGTTGGTGAGACTATAGAGCTGGTGCTCTGCCCCCACCCAGCTGGGCTGGTCCTTTGGGAACCTGTAAGAGGCTCAGGCTGAGGGCCGGACAAGAACGGTGCTAGGAGAAGCCCCAGCCCAGGGAGGCAAGTCCACCTCCAGTCTTGTCTTGGTTGGGGAAGACACAAGCGTCATGAAAGGACCACACAGAGCAGGGATAAGAACATGGATCTCCCAGCAAAGCATGGTGGGAGGGACCACAGCCTGGGAGGGCAGAGCCCCTGGCTCTCCTCGCCCAGCTCTGGGACCTCAGGTGGCCTTGGCTTCCCCATCTTTAAATGTGGGGGTCAGGCTAGATGATCTCCATAAGCCCTTCTGTCCCAGACCCTCGACTCCCAGCCAGGAGGGGGAGGCCCAGGGGCTCTTGGTGAGAGGAGGGGCGTTGTGGGTGGGATAGAAGGCCTCCACTCTGGGACTTTTACACACTGCAGACCTGCCCCAGGAGGCAGAGAGATGCCGAAGCTGCCTCTGCCCCTCCAGCCCCCGCAGTCCAAGATCCTCTTCCCCACTGGACAAGAAATGTCCCACCCCTAGAGGCCAGGGTCTCTGGAAGGCGGGATAGGCTGGAGCAGCAGCTCAGCTCCTGGGCCACCCGCAGGGGCCCTTTCAGGACACGACCGCACTCTAGTCAACCTCCGCCCCCTCCTGCCGCAGCCGTCCTACCTCTCCAGGCTCGTCCAAGATTGACATCCATCCCTTCTTGAAGTTGAGCAGATCGGGCTGTGGGGAGATGAGCAGGCAGATGGGTCAGGCCCGGAGGTAGCGGGTAGAGGCAACTCCTGGGGGTGGGGGGTGGGGGATGCTGTGCCCTTCATGCCCCCAAGGCCTGCAAGGCTGAGGTCCTGGGAAGCCAGGAAAAAGGGCTGAGGGTCCAGGTAACCCAGCTCCAGGCAGGTTCTCCAGTCACTGAGGCAGCCTCGGCCCCTTTCCCCAGCGTCCAGCATTCTCAGTGCCAAGAGGGTGGGCTGGGGCTGGCACACACACTGCCGATGTCCCAACTCCCTCCCAGCAGTCTGCTTCCTCACCCAAGAGTGGACAGAGGGAACCGGGAGCACAGGCTGCCTGAGAGACCCTGGAGAGCTGAGAGAAGAGCCCCGCCCGTAGGGTGAGTGAACTGTCCCGTCCCTCTCCCTGAAAGGCCCAGTGGCCTGCCAGGAAAATGCCTGAATGTTCCTGTCCAGCCCCAACCCGCGACCCTCCTGTGGTCCAACCAGACCTGCCCTTCCCTCATCTCCTGGGGACCCTGAAAGGTGGAACCAGTCCCTGATTGGGTTCAGAGCCTTTCTGGCCCCTTCTAGATCCTTGGGGGAGCCAGGTGATGGCGTCTCAGTCCTGGTAAGCCCTACCTGGCAGGTGCTGCCCAGGGGGGCAAGTCCCCGGGGCCTGGGGGCTCCCAGCTGCAGCATGCTTCACAGGGCTTGGCACCCCACCCAGGCCGGGGTGGACAGGGACTCTAGATGAAGGTGCTGCTCATCCTGGCATCTCTCTGACCATGCCTGTCTGGTGGGTGCCAGCCACCAGACACCCTGCCCTCCCCCCCACCCCCACCCAATGGGAAAGCCTCTCTCGACTGGGTCCTGGTCCCTCTGCAGAGTATGGGCTCCTGCCCCCTGGCAGGGAGGAGAGCAGAGTGGGCCAGGTTGGTGGCAGGGAGGAGGCGGCCACCTGTTGCCATGGCTCTGAGCCCACCTATCAGCACCTGCATCGAAGCCTCACCAGGCCAAGGTGTCTGGTTGCGTGGAGGAGCCGGTGGCATGGCTCAGTGGGATGGGCGGCAAGGTGGCAGCTGGAAACCAGAGCCACCTGACCTGGCCACCTCCCCTGGCCCACCCTCCTCCCAGGGAGCCCCGCTCTCCTCTGCCTCCTCAGGTGGAGGAAGTAACCTGAGGGGCTTAGGCCAGCAGCTTGGACAGCCAAAGCCACCCACAGCCACAATCCTTGGATGAAGGCCTTGGGACCTCAGCACGCCACAGCACCCCCGTCCCAGCTGCATTCCCCCCCTCCCTGAGGAAGGGGACACAGGCTCTGCTCAGAGCTGGGAACCCCTGGGGTAGTGTTCACCCTGCCTGCTCTCCATTCTTCCCCCTGCCCCCTGCCCCTACCTGGAAGGGACCTGCCCAGGGTGGTCCCAAGCTAAGACTGCAGACCAGTGGCCACACTCAGGGCCACTGCCCACCTCCAGAGCCTGCTCACCTGGGTCCACCTCCCTTCAGACCGTGACCTTCTGTGGCCACAGGGCCAGGCATGGGCCTAGCCACAGTGGGCCTGGGGGAAAACTTGCTGGATAAATATCCACCCTCCTCTGCCTCTCCATCTAAGTTCCCTCCTGCTTCTTCCCTCCCCTCGGCCCTGAGGCCCTGAGGAGCTGGCATTGCTGAGCCACCCCAGGAGAGAGCCCTGGGAGGCCCCCAGCCGGAATGATGGCTGGGACCCTGAGGGTAGCCTGGGACATGGAGTCGTGACCTTTCTAAGTCATGTGATCGGCTGAGCCCTGGCTGCTTGATGTGGCAAGTGGTGGGGCCTCCCTCCCCAGCTGCCTGCCAGGACTGAATTGCTGCCCGTGGAGAGGACGGTGACCCTCTGGAGGTGGCACACACAACGCTGGGTGTCACTTCAGCCCCAGGAGGACAGAAGGTACCAATGCATGTTTTTAACCTGCTGGCAAGGACAACATGGCAGTCACCTAGGAACCCACACCCAGGGTTGGAAAGTGCACCAACTGAAGGCTCTCACACTGCACCTTTCACACATGACTCCCCAGGCCCAGCCACCCTTCCACTCCCTCCACCTGCAGTTTCTCCTTTTCCTGTCAGGAGCACTGATCAACCAACTCTCACGGCCTGCCTCCTCTCCTCACCTCAGCCTCAGCCACTGGGTCAGCACTGCCGCCTACCCAGACCACCGCCGCAGCCTCCTTGAAGGAGTCCAGCCACAGCCCAAGTACACTTTGGCCGGGGAAACCCGCTTAGAAAGACCCAGTGTCACAAGACTGCTTAAAACTCCCAAAGATCCCTGGTGGCTTTAAAACAATGTCCAGGTGCCTCGGATGGCACAAAAGACTCAATCTCCCTTCTAGCCTGGCCCCTCCTTGCTTAAGGGGTCCCATTCTCTCTGGTCCCCCAACACATCAAGCCTTCAGGCCTTTCATTCATGCCTGTGCTCTTGACCTGAAATATTAGGCTTCCTCTTCTTCTGTTGTCCAGGCAAACTCCTACTCATCCCTCAAGACCCAGCTTCACTGCTGCCTCTGAAGCCCTATTCCCAGTATATACCACCCACACTGAACAGCCATCTGCCTCCTCTGCTGCCCTCTCACATCCTTTGGAAAGGCCTCTTTTGCATCCCTGATTATGTTGAAGCCAACAAGTCATCAGGAAAGACCAATCACTGGAAAAGGACATCATGGTTGGTCAGTGAAAACACGGGAAACCCTTCATGAGACGGATTGACACAATAGCCACAACAACACAGAATCAAACATACGAACCCCCACGAAGATGGCACAGATCCAGGCACTTCATTCTGTTATAGGTAAGGTCGCCATAAGTCAGAGCTGACTTGATGACAACGAACAAAAACTACACAGGCTAGATCGGAAGAAACTTGCAGTCAGGCACACACATTGTTCAACAGCACTTCACCCTCAACCCAGCACAGACAAGGGGATAAGGAATTGTTTCTTAGCACCAGGCATTGTTCTAGGCCAGGAACTCAGCGGTGAACACAGAAACATGGCCTCTGTCCTGGTGGAACTTAGGGAGAGGCAGACAATAAACAAGCGAACAAGTACGTAATTTGATGCCAGGCAGTGGCTGGGGAGTGAGGCTCTGGGGGCAAAGCTGCACCAGGGCTAAGCACAAGCGGATAGGAGAACATCCTGACCCCAAGTCCAGCCCCAGAATCACCCTGAGTCCTCTAGGCATCGACCCAGGCATAGCACCTTTACCAGTTGCTCCGTACTGATCTCTGAGCTCAGGGTATGGGGGGTGGGGCCACAGGGCAGGATGGGGGTCAAATAGATAGGGGTCAGGGGACAGGAAGAGGGTTTGAGGAAGGTACAGGAGGGGACAGAGTCTCTGGGTGGCACAAAGGGTTAAGCATTTGGCCACTAACCAAAAGGTTGGTGGTTTAGGGCCCCCAGCGGTGTCTCAGAAGAAAGGCCTGGTGATCTACTGAAAAATCAGTGACTGAAAACTCTATGGACCACAGTTCTACTCTGATGCGCTTGGGGGGCGCCATGAGTCGGAATTGACTTGATGGCAACACCTACTATAGGAGGGACACCAGCTGGAGCAGGTGGATGGCGGCAACCAAGATGAATCCAATGAATAGTCAAGGGTGATCATGACCCTCCTCCCTACTCTAAAACCTTCCAAGTCTCCCCCTTGTTTCTGACCAAATCCCAAATTGCTTTTCCCAGCCTTTGAGGCCCTCCTTCCCAGGGCCCTTCTCCAAACACAACCATCAGCCTTTGTGCACACTGCTCCTTCCCCATGACAAGTGAAGCAAGATCCCTCCCTCAGGAGGCCCCCTCCCTTCAGCAGGGATGTGCTGTCCCTTATCCAAGCACCCCCACAAGCTGCTTCCAGCAGCCTTACCCTTGCTCAGCATGTACTGATCCCGGAGAGGCAACTGTGTACATGTCTTATCTCTTCCAGGAGAGAACACTGGGACAGACCTGGATACAAACTCTGGCTCAGCCAGGGCCCAGCTTTGTGAGGGGGCATGTTACTCCACCTCTGTATGCCTCAGTTTCCTCATCTGTTAGATGGGGACAGCAGCACCAGTCTTGAAAGGATTAAATCTGGTGAAACCACCCAGATCAGGGCCCAACAGGCACCCAGTGGTCAGTGCAATCACCCTCCCCCTGGCCTATGGAGCCCACAGATGCCCTGGGACTACTGACTCAGCTCCTCCTCCCATACCCGCCCCCCCACCCCCGTTCCCTGCCAGGGAAGGGGAGGTTGCTGACGACAGGAAGGGCCAGCAGGGAGGTGGCAGGATGTGCGGAGGCCGAGGAAGTCCAGGCAGCAACAGCAGGTCATCATATTCACAGCGCAGGAGCCCTGCGTGCCACGCCCCCCAGCAGCCCAGCCCACTCACCAGGGCCTCCACTCCTTGGAGAAGGGGAGCACACACATTCACACATACACCCTGCTCATCCTCCTCCAGGAGGGCCACTAGGCTGTTGGAGCCTCCCTAAGACACTGGCCTGACACCAAAAACAGCTCAGCCTCTCCCTTCCAGAACATCATGCTCAGGGGGCCAGACTGACCTGGAAAGGGGCTACTCCTTCTCTTACACTCAGGGGGACCTCAGACAACCCACCAACTCCCCCGCCCAGCCTCACTTTATCCCACCGGGAAATGGGTAACAGTGCCCTCAGTTGTAAGGCTCAATGTGATCATTAAGGCACAGGTATTGATGAAGCTTGGGTAACATCCCCAAGACAAAGACAAATCTCTCCACTTCGGCCCTCAAGCCATTGCCCTCCTCCCCTCCACACCCTGCCCCGCCCTCCTTGCCGCACCCAGGGCCCCAGCGCCGCTGCAAAGTGGCAAGCCGAGGAGAGCACTGTAACCCGCCGCTTCAGCAGTCCTAGGGTGAGCTCCCAGGCAGGGTGGGGCGGACGGGCCCCTCCTCACCCACTCACCCCCCGGGCCAGCGCCCACACGGGTGGGCAGCCTCCCCAGGCCCGGGTCAGCGCGGCCCCTCCGAGCCGGGGAGCGCCTCCACCCAGCCTCAGACGAGACCCCAGCCCAGGCCCACCTCCGCTCCTCCCCCGGCCGGAGCCCTGGGAGTCCCTACGGGTCTGGCAGTTAGGGGGGATCCTACGGAGTGGGAAGGGCCACCTTGAATCCGTCTATGACTGGCCCCCGCAAAAGTGAGGAGGGGCTGCCTGGGACGGGAGTTCCTCTCTCCCAGGGGTCGCCCGGGTTCCTGGCGCCTGGGAAGCTGAGGAAGAGGCTCCGGGAAGGTGAGGCGGATCTGCCCAGCCCTTGCCTTTGAGGTCACCCTACGTTCCGACCGAGACCTACTCTCGCCTCCGAAAAGTGAGGAGGGAGTTGTCTCGGCTCAGCCTCGGGTCGCCGCTCTCATTCCGGCCAGAGGGCGCGGAGGGACTGTTCTTGGGGGGCACTCACCGTCATGGCGGCGCCCCGAGGCTGCGGAACAGGACACAGGAAGGCAGAGGGGCTCTCGGGCCGGGCTCAGCGGCGCGGGGATCCCGCCGCCGCCGCTCCTCCGGCCTTTCCCTTCCCCGGCACTGCCCCGGCCCCTTCCATCCGCCCATAAAACTTTTTTTTTTTTTTTTTTTCAAACTTCCTGGGAGGACCCGGGCCGGCCAATGGGCAGCGGGGAAGCTACGACAAACAGCGGCAGGGCCGCAGCCGGGCCAATGGGAGCGTGGGACTGGCCCCGAGACGGGGCGGCCGCGACGGTGGGGGCGGGCGGATGGGGGCGGAGGGACTGGCGGGCCGGCAGCCCGAGGGCGGGCTCCGCGCGGGCAGCGGGCGGGCTGGGAGGAAGGAAGGGCCCGGCACACAGGTGACTCCGTCCGGCCAGGCGCGGGGGTGGGGCGGCCAGGAGTGGCCCACTCGGCGTTCTCGGCTACGGCTCCCCACCCTAGTCTCGAGCCGCCCGACGGGGCCCTGGGCCCACGGGTGCTCCGGGAGCTGGCAAAGCACCGGTTATTAACAGATCAGTGGGTTCCACTCGCCGAGTCCCGCTCGTTACCTGCGCAATCGAATTTCATCTTCACCTCAGACCTGAAAGGGAGGTCACACTGTCCCCATTTTACAAAGAAAACAAGGTTCAGAGCGGTGAGTCCACTTGCCCAAGGTCACACAGTAAGAAGAGACGGATCCCTAACACATAAGCTGTGCACAAAGTGGGTTCTTCTTGAGTGGTAGTTATTCGTTGCTGCGAATCCATTCCGACTCGTGGCGACCCCATGTATACAGAGCAGAACTGCTCCAGAGTTTTCAAGGTTGTGACCTTTCGGAAGCAGATCTCCAGGCCTTCCTTCCGAGGCACCTCTGGGTGGGTCTGAACTGCCAGCCTTTGGGATGGTAGTCCAACACTTAACCATTTGAGCCACCCAGGGACTCCTTAGCCCCCTCCTCACAAGCAGGTCTTCTTTGGGCTTAAGAACCTCGTTTGGGATTCTTGGCTGTGGGAATACGTAGGTTCCTCATTCCTTCACAGAGCACTTGGCAGTGGAGTTTTCTGCTAAATGCATGTGTGAATCAAATCACACAGTGATTCAAACCTTGCTTCTTTCACTGTGCTACTTATAGCAAGGTACTTAACCTCTCTGTGCCTCAACTGCCCCCTCTGTAAAATGGGGTTGCTGGAAAGTGTAAGTGTTAATTCAAGTAAAACACCCTTGAGTGGGAGGGCAGCGGGACTTGGAATAATTGCCACTTCAGTTATTCTGTCATCTCAGTTTGGGACTCAAAATTTATTGGTATCATTGCTATAATGCTGTAATTATTATCCCCATTTCACAGACAAAGAAGTGGAGGCGAAGTTCTTTCCCTGCATTTCCCACTGGCAGTCTCTCTACTCTGAGGAATGATGCCAAGGTTAAGTCCATCTTCCTCTAGACACTGGCTTTCTAGCATCTCGTGCTGAGTTTTCCCACCCTTCTGCACCTCCCTCAGGCACCTGGTCCTTGGGACAGTGAGTGAACAAATAGAAGACCTCTCACCTCACCTGCCACTGCCACATGGCCCAATGGCCTGGGTGCCTGATAGCACCAGCTCTGCACTGGTTTTCAGTCTCTGGGACTCCCCTTCTAGCACCTTCAACCAGTGACCATACCACTCCCCTGCTCCGGGTTCTTCAATAATTCTCCAGTCTTAATCCATCAGCTGTCTGTTCTCGTCCATCAGAATCTGGCCCCTGCCTGTCCTCCATCATCACACACACACATTTTACAGGCTAGGGATGCACAATGCTGGATGACTGGGAAGTCCCCAATAAGCGAGGTCCTCCTGTACCTCCCTGACTGCACATGTTGTTCTCTGCCGTGTCTGGAACGCTTCCCTTCCTGTCCTCTGTGCCCCACCACGCACGCACACACACACTCTCTCTCTTTCTCCCTCCTCCCCTTCCTCCAAATATTTGTTTGCCTGGAAAATTCCTCCTCTCGCTTCAAGTCCCAGTCCAAAAGAAGTTGAAGTGCCCCCAGCCTATTTAGAAACTTCTTGAGTAGTGCTCCCTGCATCTGACTCCTTGCCTGGTGCTCCCTGCATCTGCTTCCTTGTGCAGTGCTCCTTGCTTCTGTTTCCTTCTGTAGTGCTCCCCTGCATCTGACTCCTTGCCTGGTGCTCCCTGCTTGATTCCTTGTCTAGCGCTCCCTGCATCTGATCCTTCTCCATTGCTCCCCTGCATCTGACTCCTTGTTTAGTGCTCCCTGCATCTGATTCCTTGTCTAGTGATCCCCTGCATCTGATTTCTTCTCCTGTGCTCCCCTGCATCTGACTCCCTGTGCAGTGCTCCCCTGTATCTCTTTCCTTGTCTAGTGCTCCCCCACATTTGACTCCTTGCCTGGTGCTCCCTGAATCTGACTCTTTGTGCCGTGCTCCCTGCATCTAACTCGTTGCCCAGTGCTCCCTGCATCTGTACATTTCCCCACTAAAGCAATGACCTTGCTGTGCTCTAACCAGTTACATGCCAATGCCCACACTGCAGTATGAGCTCCTGCAGGCAAGGATGGAGTGTTTTTCGTCTGTATCTCGGAGGCCACGGTAGGCCCTCAGTAAACGGTTGAATGAATGAATGTACAAATGAAAGAATGACTCCTTTACCACAGCAAGCCCCACAGGACAGAGATGGCACAGCCTTGGGGACCCAGGAATGAGTTACTAAACTGGTAAAAACCAGAGCCACCCAACTTGGGGGTTGGCCAGTCTCAAACCATAACTACTGAGGATAATAAGGGGAGGCAGTGGCCCAAAGCCACACAACCTAGTCGCCGGGATGGAACTCATCCTGCTTCCTGGCTCTTGGCCTCAGGCTAATTTTACTTGTCCCCAGCCTACAAAAGTTCTATCCGTCAGCCCCTGATTTTCCTCATTCTCAGATGAAAATATGGCTGCAGCCAAACTCACCGAGCTTCAGTTTCCACATTGTCTAATGGGAAGACTCTCAGGGCTGCAGGGAGGGCTCAGAGAGCTCAGGATGTACTGAGCTGGGGGCTGGGCGGATTGAGAGCTCCTGGTTCTGAGGTCAGCCAGGGCAAAGTTCAAATCTCAGCTCTGCCCCTCACCCCTCTGTGACCTGGAACATGGAACAAGTGACTTTTCCTCTCTGAGTTTCATGTCCTCATCTGTAAATGGGACAGTATAAGTTGTACCTGGTGATAAGGATTAAATGCAATTGGGCGTGCCACGCACTGAGCACAGAGCTGGGCACACAGTAGGTGCTCAATAAATGCTACGCACTGTCATGATCCCTGAGTCCTTTTCCCCACTTCTCTCCCCCCTCCCTCCACCCAGGACTTACCTGCCCCTCCTGCCAGAACTTTATTGTATTGGTGACCTTTAGTTAGTCTGGTAAGGTAATTCTGCCTAGGGCTTGACATCCCACACTGCCCAGATAACCATGTTTGCCTGATCACCCTTGGTGCCTTACCCTCTGAAGAGCAAGAGGAAATTATGAAGTAGGTGGCAAACGAAGTTTGAGTTTCGAGGGGGCTTTTTTTGGCATCCCTCCTATCATTTACTTTGCAGCAAGGGGTGGGCTCCTCTACACCCTAGCTGTGCGACCTCAGCCAAATCATCTCACCTCCCTGAGCCTCAGTCCTTTCATCTGTAAAATGGGTATATTGTCTCTAAGGGGGGACCTGGTGGCTCAATGGTTAAGAGTTGGGCTGCTAACCAAAAGGCTGGCAGTTCAAATCTACCAGCCACTCCTTGGAAACCTTATGTCCTGTAGGGTTGCTATGAGTCGGAATCAACTCCACAGCAAGGGGGTTTTTTTTGGTTTTGTCTCTAAGGTGCTCAACCTAGTGCTGAACACAGAGCCATAGTGAGTACAAGAGTCAGCCCATCACTGAGAGAAGAGACCCCACGAGCCAGTCTGCAGCCCCCGGAGATGGCTAGGCCCCTTCTCTCCCTCCTCTCCCTACCCTTGAGGCAACCCTGGACCTGAGGCCTGAGTGTTTCCAGCACTCTCTGGGCAGGCAACGGTTACAAAACACCAGATGTTTATGAAACTGGCCCAGGCCCAGGTCTGAGACACACTTTGCAATCCCAGAGCCCCTTGCAGCTCCTCCTTCTCCTCCCACCTCACCCCCATCTGGTTCCCCTTGGCCCAGGGGCTAGTGAGAAGTAAGTCGCTGATTGCTGATCAGGAGCTTTCAGCTGTGTGGGTTATTCCATTCCCCCTCACCCCAAAGCTGAAAACAGCCCCCAGCCCTGCTGTGGAGGTGGGAAGACCCTCTCTTGCAGGGACTACAGGGCACTTAGGAGCTCTGTTTCCATCTTCCTTTCCGGTGGGATGGGGAAATCCCTGAATCCCTCCTCAGCCCCTCAGGGTCCCTTCTCTACCTAATACCAACCTCCTCCTCTCCCCCTCTCTACCACCGCTGCCCCTCACACATCCCCTGGAGCCAGCCTACCCTTTGCCACCTGAGGACCCCCAGAGACAGCAGGAACGGATTGAACAGCGTGGGCCGGTCCCCGGGCATCCGCCATGAGGTCACCAGTCGGCCCTTGAGTGGGCTCCCAGCCTTGCCCTCTGCTGGCCTCTTGTCTGCCTGTCAAACAGGGTCCAGTGTTGGCCCTCAGGTCCATTTGGTGGGATGGGGGAGCACCTGGCTGCAGCCTCCCCTGCCCAGTCTGCCTTGCCGGTCGCAAAGGCCCCGTCTTCCTCCTCTCCCCAGCTGCCAAGAAAAGAGCTTGTTAACTCCTCTGACACTTAGCTTGACTGACAGGGCTCCGCAGGCTGAGCCCCTTAGGGCTGTGCGCTGCCACCACCCTGAAGTCAAAACACAGGTTGCAAAGAGGAGGGGAGTGCGGACCACAGTGGCATGTGCTGGGGCTCTGTGGGGTTTTCGAGCGATTATGAATTAGGTTTGAATGTTAACTAACAGACAGATTTAACATATAAATACGCATTTCCAGTTTCTCTGGAAATATCTAAGGGTGTGGAAACTCTGGGCCCATCTTTCCCATGGAAGCCAAAGGGTCACACAGGCGCCCCCCAGCTCGTTCCTCTCACCTCTGCTACCTGCCTGGCCTTGAGGGTAGTAGGTTTGTGACCC